GTTCTAGAATTTGCTCCCACTGCTCATGGGAAATGGCCAAGCACAGCACTGTGGGGGATCTGTCCTGGTTCCGTGGGTCTGAAGCATCTCCAGAACCAGCACTTAAAGCTGAACAAGAGCCCAGACCAGGAGGCTGTTCTCTACACAGAGGGTGCTGGGAGAGTGGAACGCGCTGCCCAGTCATGTGGTTGAAGCCGATCCACTGGATTCTCCCAGGACACAGCTGGATGAGATCCTGGGATAAATTAAAGACAGAGCGAACAGCCTCCTGTCATTTGTAACCCGTCCTGTGTTTAATTACCATTAAATTCGGTAATGTTAGGATTGCTGTTAATATAAACTCGTGTCTCTGAACAATACAAGGTTTGCAGACACCAGATCTGCCTCGCCAGTGTCAGTATCAGCGCCTCAGTACAGACAGATACAGCCTGTTCTCTTCTGACAGCCTTGAGGTCACAGTCAAAACACCGACGCGCTGACACACTGACACCCAGACGAGCATCCCCATCTCTGAACTGGCTTCATCACTCTGCTCTCCTCCCCGCTGAGAGCTGCTGTGGTGAATGGAGAGGCGCATCATCCAGCTGGGGTTAGACATTGGGGGTGGAGGGGATCCCCATGACCCGTATAGCACTTTGAGTGGAGTGGCCAGGAAAGACTGTGCTGTCAGTGAGTCTGATTATAATCCCAGTGAATCACTAGTCCAGCTCCCAGTCCAGTCAGTCCAGTCCAGCCTGGAGAGTCTCAGACCACGATGGAGAGAGAGTCACCTGAGTGCGCGGCTCAGCTTGTCGTAGTTCATCTGCGGTTTACACTTCCTTGCGCCCCAGAGCCGGGCGACCTCGTCGGGGTCCTTGATGACGAACTCGCCGTAGTCGCCCTGCCAGGCGATGACATCGTGGTACTCCTCCTTCCGCAGCAGCTCCAGGATGAAGTGCCAGAGCTGGATCTGCCTGGAGCCGGGGCTCGACTCAGGCTTGTAGGCCCAGTCTGGGAAAGCAAACCCTGTTAGAGAGAGAGAGAG